TCTCCAGGGTGTTCCATGAACAGTAAAACAATCCTCCCTGGCAGTGGGCCTGCCCCTGCACTGCAAGGGTTAAATGCTTGTTTAGGTCTAGTAGATAGGAAAAGCAGTATTATTACTGTTCCTCAGTGTCCTCATGTCTAATGCAGGGCTATGGACCCTGCATCAGTCTTGATGAGGTCAGGAGTGTCTTACCACCAAAGCATGAGGTTGCTTTTTACCGATATGTATAAGTGGTATGCTACTTGAGTGCTAGAGAGTGTAAAGTTGCATCAAAGTCACACTACATGAACTGAATTGTCATACTTTGCTATTAGCCCAAAGAAAAAAAGCAAAATGCATCAAAAATGCAACTCTTGCGTTATTGGTGTGGGTCTATTACATTGAAAATGCAATTTTCTGAGGAAAAAAAAAGTCCCTGATCCTTTCCGAAAACACACTGGCTCAAAATGCACAGATGTGAACTAGATCCATAGGAAACCATGTTAAATGGATGTAGTGCATCTCTGCAAAATGCAAAACACACTTATACAGGCCATAGATGGGTCGTTAATCGTCCGATTTTTCGGCAGAAAGAAAAATCGGCCGATTTTCGTACCGTTAGTGGATTAGTTCGTCGGCCGTTTTTCGTGTATTTTGCACTTTCAGATTATCGGTTATGTTGGGAAATTTGCGGCCGATTTGGACGATCGGCCGATTTTCCCAGCAATGATGGCCAAATCGGACGATCGTTTTAACGATAAAAAAATCTGCACATGAGCTGTGACCTGCAAGGGACAGAAGTTATGGGGGTGAACTTTATGATTTAGTCGGATGATTTTTTTTCAAAAATCGTTGGTGGTAACGTCGGCCAAGCGAACGACCAATTTTTCGTTTATCATTCGAAAAATCAGCCGATGTTCGACCCGTCTATGGCCTGCATAAGTCTGGCCATACATTATACAATTTTCCTGAGATTTTTGCTTTAGATTTACCAAAATCCATATAATATGAGGTCAAACCTAAACAACACTTTGAATTGTATCTAATTAGGCAGGCCCTTGTGCTACATAGTGGAAGGTAAATCTAAAAGAAATTGGGCAGAAAACTGTAAGAAAATTGTATAGTGTATAATTGAAGAATTTTGCTTCAAGGTCAAACCTAAACAACACTTTGAATTGTATCCAATTAGGCAGGCCCTTGCACTACATAGTTGAAGGTAAATCTAAAGGAAATTGGGCAGAAAATTGTATAGTGTACGGCCAACCTAAGAGATGCATAGGTGTACATCAAGGATTAGAGGGGAACCCCTGATACTCTGTAGGTCACTGATCAACACTATGGGGTTTATTTACTAAAGCTGGAGAGTCCAAAATCAGACTCCCTTCTGCATAGAAACCAATCAGCTTCCAGGTTTCATTGCCAAAGCTTCATTGAACAAGCTGAGGTTAGAAGCTGATTGGTTTCTATGCAGAAGGGAGACTGATTTTGGACTCTCCAGCTTTAGTAAATAAACCCCTATGGGTCTGTATGCCGAAAAACCTGCATGTAAAATGTTAGCATACATTTTTGACAAACTTATACTTTTGTCTGCATCAGAGTTTATTGTCCAACAGTGCAAATCACTGTTTGGCGCACAGCAGTGCACTTTAGCTTTGGTTCTAAGGTTTCTAGCAATGTGGGGGATCTTATTGGACTGGCTGAATCTGCATGAATAGCCTTCTGATGTCAGTCCCACCAGATTCTTTGGAACAGACCTTGTATCTAATACCCAAGTTTTGGTTACACTTGTTACAAGCAAAATAGAGTCTTTTGTTACTATTCAGTTATATTATACAAGCTGAAAAAATTATGGAGTTGATTTACTAAATCTGGAGAGTGCAAAGTCAAATGCAACTCTAAATAAAAATCAATCAGCTTCCAGTTTTTGTTTGCCAAAGTTTAACCACTTCAACTCCAGAAGGCTTTACCTCCTTTATGACCAGGGCATTTTTTGCTATTGTGTGGTCATGCAACACTGTATCCAAATGAAATGTATAAAAATAGAGCCTTTTTTAGTGGGTTTTTTCTTATATAAACAAAAACAAAAAAAAAAGACTGAAAATTTTGAAACAAAAACATTTTCTTTCTGTTATAAAGCAAATCCAACAACAAAAAAATCAAACGTCTTCATAAATTTAAGCCAAAATGTATTCTGCTACACATTTAGTAAACAAAAGTGTATAATAATTGGTTTGTGTGGAAGTTAAAGCATCTACAACTATGGAATATTATTATACATGATTTATATAGCGCCAACAGTTTTATTTCACTCTATTGTTTTCTATTGTATTCTTTTATTTTCTGCTGTCTTCTTTTCTATTATTATACTGGATTTATATAGCGCCAACAGTTTGCGCAGCGCTTTACAATATAAAGGGAGACAGTACAATTACAATACATTTCAGTACAGAATTAATAGGAGGACCCTGCTTGTGGAGCTTACAATCTAAAGGAAGGGGAGGTGATACAAAGGTGATAGCTGCGGGGATGATCTGGTGGAGGTGATTCAAGTACAGTTCTTAGGTGAAGGTGGGGTAGGCTTCCCTGAATAAGTGAGTTTTCAAAGATCGTAGACAGGCAGACAGGGTGGGGGCTGACTGGACATACTGTGGTAGGAAGTTCCAGAGGATAGAAGAGGCTCCAGAGAAGTTCTGGAGGCGAGCGTGGAAGGAGGGGATGACGGAGCTAGAGAGGAAGCTATCTTGGGAGGAGTGGACAATTTAGGTGATATCTGCGTATGAGGTTGGCGATGTAGCTGGGGGCAGTGTTGTGGATGGCTTTGTAAGCTGTGGTTAGTATTTTGAATTTTATACATTGGTTTAGTTGAAACCAATGAAGGGATTGGCAGAGAGGGGCAGCAGTTGCTGATCAGTTGGTTAGGTGTATGAGTCTAGCAGCAGCATTCATAATAAACTGAAGGAGGATAGCCTGTGTAACTGTAGACCAGTGAGGAGGGAGTTGCAGTAATCGAGGCGGGATAAAACCAAGGCGTGGATGAGTTGTTTTTGTGGTGTCATTGGTCAGAAAGGGGCAGATTTTGGAAATGTTCCAGAGGTTGAGGCGGCAGGATTTAGCCAGTGATTGGATGTGGGGCCCAAAAGAGAGGTCAGAGTCTAAGATTACACCTAGCACCCTAGCATGAGGGGAAGAACCAATGGTTGTGCTGTTGATCTTAATGGTAAAGTCGTGAGTGGGGGATCAGGGGGGAGGAAATATTACAAGCTTGGTTTTGGAAAGATTTAGTTTAAGGTAGTGGTGTGACATCCATGCTGATATGTTGCTTAGTAGGTTTGTGATACGTGAGGAGATTGAGGGGGTGAGCTGGGGAGTGGAGAGATAGATCTGGGTGTCATCAGCATAGAGGTGGTATTGGAAGCCATGGGAGGTTATCAATTGGCCAAGGGAGGAGGTGTAGAGAGAGAAAAGGAGAGGCCGAAGAACAGAACAGAAAGAGGGAGAGGAGCAGGAGTTGTATGTGACACTGAAAGTGCGTTGAGAAATGTAAGAGGAGAACCAGGAGAGAGCAGAGTCACGGAGGCTGATGGAATGGAGTTTACTGAGGAGGAGCAGGTGGTCGACTGTGTCAAAGGAAGCGTAAAGGAGTATGAGTATGGAGTAATGGCCGTTGGTCTCAGCAGTTAGTAGGTCATTAGTGAGTTTTAGTAGGCCGGTTTCAGTAGAATGTTGTGGGCGGAAGCCAGACTGTCGGGGATTAAGAAGGTTGTTGTCGGTGAGGTAGAAGTTCATACGGTTGTGAACAAGGCGCTCGAGAAGCTTGGAGGTAAATGGGAGCAGGGAGATGGGTCTTAAGTTATTTAAACAGGTGGGGTCCAGCGAGGGTTTTTTGAGTATTGGGGTAACCAGTGCATGTTTGAGCGGGGAGGGAAAGGTGCCCATGGAGAGTGAGAGGGGGTAGAACATGCGCTGTCCTACCCACGCCGTTATTGGTGGCTGAATATGTCAATCACCAGATCCCAGCCAGCACTCAGTGATCATTGGCAAAGCTGACAGGGGAGAGATCTGTGTGTAAACAACACAGGTCCCTCTCCTGTCAGCATGGACATGCTGCTTTCTATCTCTCTGCACAGCATGTCTCCCTAGTAAAACACACACAGCATACAGTTAACCCTTTGATCACCACAGATGTTAACCCCTTCCTGCCCAGTGTCATTAGTGGAGTGCTTTGTATTAGCACTGATCCTTGTATTAGTGTCACTGGGGATGTCAGTTAGTTCTCAACCAGTGTCTGAATGCCTGCCACAGTCCCGCTTTAAGTTTCTGATCGCCGCCATAAGTAGTATGAAAAAAAAAAAAAAATTACATTATATATACCGCCATTTGTAGGCCCTGTAACTTTCATGTAAACCAATTAATATACAATTATTGGATTTTTTTTAGCAAAGACATACAGCAGAATACATTTTGGCCTAAATTTATGAAGAAATTAGATATTTTAAATTTTTTTTTAACTGGATATGTTTTATAGCAAAAAGTAAAAAATATTGGGTTTTTTTTTTTTTTTTAAATGTTGGTCTTTTTTTTTATAGCGCAAAAAATAAAACGCAGAAGTGATCAAATACCACGTTGCATAACCGCGCAGTTGTCAGTTAAAGTAATGCAGTGCCGTATCACAAAAAATGGCCTGGTCAAGAAGGGGGGTAAATCCTCTGGAGGGCAAGTGGTTACAGAAAAAAAACATCACACGATACACATAAGCAATGGTCGTTCATAGACGGTTTCTGACATATTAACACTACATATATTATTCATATACACGAGAAACCTGATAGATGTATGTGAACGTTTTACAGTCTTTACTGTGATGTTTGTTTTTGGCTTCTTGGCATGAGCGATGAAATGCATTACAATGGATCAGTAGTTGGGACAAAATTGGATCAGTCCACTTTATGAAAAATCTAGTGCTGTAAATGCTTGGAATGGTTCCTGAAGGTTTCCCCACATTCAGGGCAAGTTAACAGCTCTCAAGAGTGAGTTCTCATGTGTCTGACCATAGAAGACTTGAGGCCAAACATCTTCCCACACTTTGTACACATAAAGCTTTTCTCCCCTGTGTGGACTCTCTGATGTACAATAAGGGAAGACTTCCTGGTGAAACTTTTCCCACACTCGGCACACAGAAAGCGCTTTCCTTCACGTTGAGCTCTGCTGTCGTCATTTGATCCATTAACCCATGTGCTTACACCTAAGCTGCTATTAGCTGCATGTTTTAATGTGGTCTTCTCTAAAGGACTTTTAATTGTCTCCATCTTGTCAGACTTGTCTTTGTTTAATATGTTAGAAACATCAAAGTCAACTCCCCTGGCAGGTAAGTACGGGCATGCCGTCATCTCTCCATTAATGTTCTTCTCAAGGTGGTCACCAGCTACAAGATAAGTACACAAAATTGTAACAAATCACAGTAAAGAAGAGTATAGGCTTTTAGTCTAGCTTTTCATCTGTGTGGGTGGTGCAGCTCATATTTGTGGGGGCACAGCAGCCCATTCAATGGAATGGGCTACTGTATCTACATTTCCTGCAGGGGAAAAAGTCCCTGACTTTTTCAAAACAAAACCACATGGAGCTGCATTGGTGCTTTTACACCATGCAAATGAGCAGAAATTCACCAATTTGTGAAAAAATAAGTCTAAAAATTGTCAATTTCAGAATAATATTCCTCAATGTAAAATTGCAAAGCCCTTAAATATATAATCACCTACAGTACATAAGTACAGTACATAACTACAAAAGATTCTGAGAATCTGGAGAGAAATCTCTGTGTGAAAGAGACAAGGCTTAAACACAATATTGGATGCCTGTGATCTTTGGGTCCTCAGACTGCACTGCATTAAAAACAGGCATATATTTCTGTGATGGACATCACTGCATGGGCCCAGGAATACTTTTTACAACTGTGTGATTCTGGTTTTGATTTTTTTTTTTTTTTTCTGACTTGGTGTTATATCTTTCACTTGGATGTTATAAGTTGAACTGAGTAAGTAGAGCTGGATAAAACAAACACTGTGTCTCTGTTCATTTCAGGCTGCAAAGCAACAAAATGTAATTATTTTAAAAGGGGGGTGATTCTTTTCTATACCCACTGTATATCTATGTTTTGGAGCAACAAATGCTTCCATCCAACAACATTTTTTTCAGGGAAGGCCGTGCATATTTCAGCAGAGCGATGTTAAACTGCACACTGTATTTATGACAACAGCATGGCTTCGTACTAGAAGAGTCCAGGTGCTTAACTGACCTGCCTGCAGTCCACACCTTTCACAAACTGAAAATATTTGGTGCACCTTGAAACAAGATTAAAATAAATGTGTTGTTGCAATCACTTTCAAAAGTACCTTATTTTTTTCTTTAAAATGGTACATATTCTCAGTTTAAACACTTGATATGTTCTCTATTGAGAATAAAATACGATTTTATATTTGCAAATCATTGCATTCTGTTTTAATGTAGATTTTACACAGTGTTGCAATTTTTTTGGAATTGGGCTTGTAATTCATAAAGAAATACCGCAGGTTTGGAGATAGAGAAACTTCTGGAAAATAAGAGCAATGTCATTTTGACGTCATTTGTGTTGGGATGGAGGAATTTGTCCACTTTGGGATGGAGGAGTGTGACACTTGGCCGCAAAAGGTCACTGGTTGTTAGGATGCTGGCATCTCTGAGGCATCCTAGCAATCAGTGAAACGCAGCCACAGACCATCCTTGAGAACCTGTGCACAAGGCTGGCCACTCTTTGTGAATTCTTTGTAGGCCTAGAATGGCCATAAGGCACACCGGGTATTTGCCCAGTGGGCTGGGGCCATGGGGCCGCATGTACATGATGGGGGGTGCAACGCACAGCAGGTGCGGCAGCTGAGCTGCTACTCGTCTCCAGCCCGCACCAATCCTCGGTTTCTTTCTGTTTGCTCAGTCAATTCCCTCCTGTATGGCCATTGGAGCAGGGGGAGGAAGCTAGTGCTCAGCAGACCAGTGGGCTGCCTGAGAGTGTGGAGGGGGAGGAGCTAGATAAGACCCCTTTTGCGTGATGCCAGATAGGTGTCACTGTTGCCACCGCCACAGACCCCACAGGGAGCCAGCCTGGGCTGAAGAAAAAAGTGAGTGTGTGCCAGCCTGCCACTGCACGTGAACACTTACTGTTAGAACAAATTATAAGACAATTTGCATAGACTTGACTGACTGGGCTGTCTCCTTGCTGGATTAGGATGTCTCTTTGCTAGATTGGGCTGTCTCTTTGCTGGATTAGGATGTCTCCTTGCTGAAGTGGGCTGCCTGTTTGTTGGACTAGAATGTCTCTTTGCTGGACTGGGCTGTCTCTTTGCTGGATGGGGATGTTTCCTTGCTGAATTGGGCTGTTTGCTGGACGGGGCTATGTCTCTTTGCTGAATATATAGCCGGCACTGAGATTAGAGAGAAAAGGGGGGGGGGGGGGGGAGAGTGACTGCAAGTGGAACTGTGATAGGGGGCTATGAGTGCTAGGGGCACTGTAATGTAACGGGCACTGTGATATAAATGGAACTGCACTATAATCAATACAGTGCCCCTTTATAGTGCAGACCCCTTAATATCACAGTGCCCCTTTACATTACAGTACGAAGAACTGAATCCATGAATATCCTGTCACCAACCTCCCCCACAAACACCAACCCCTATTCTCCCCTTCTCGGTCCCTGGAGAAATTGGCTGCCAAGTATAAAATGCCCAGGCCTAATTTTTTGTCCCACTCCAGGCCTGATTCTTTGTATAGACTTTAGTACAATTTCTACTAACCAGTGCATGAGTTTTCTAGAATTTCCTCCTTTATATTTAGAGAATCTTCATGTGTTATCGCCTTTACATTGGTACAAGATGAAGCCACGCAGTCAGGTGTCCCAGGTAATAGACAATGGTTGTCATGTGACCTCTGAGCTCTGTCTAATAAAGCAGATTCTGGATCATTTGTTAATGGCACTGACTCCGCACTCTTATTTGCATCTGATGAATGCTCTATATCTCGTAGCCACTGTTGTTCCTCAGGCTCTATCTTCAAGGCATCATCAGGATTCAGGGGCAGCTGACCTGATTGAAAAAAAAAAAAAAAAAAAACAAGGAAGAGGCTCGATTTTACAGTAGTTAAAACTAAATTTAGCTAAAAGAACAAACAGTCTGTGAGGCAAATCATATCATGCCCTGCCCAGGCTTATCAGACATATTATTTGCTGCTACAAGCTAAGAGAAGTGTACACTTACATCCTTTACTATGATTTAATTTTCTCTGTAAAATAGCCATACCCATGTTGTGTCAAACCCAAATTACCAAATGCTTGAAACTGGCACTCATGAAGCACGTTTAAATGACAAACTGACCAATAAAAATATTACTGTCTATGGAGAATTTTAGGGCCTGGGTGGGGTGGCTTTGGACTTCTGTCAATTGGCAATTACAGCTTGCTTCGAGGAGCATTCTACTGGCATTTGAGATCAGTTTGAAATGCTTCCAGGATCGAAGTTCAATGATGAAGAAGTCAGTTTGATTGCACAGGTTTTCACAATTTTGTTAGCTTCTTGCTAAAATAAATTGTTATTAGACGGGAACCATGGGGCCATTGGACAATGAAGTTTACAAAAATATTGTTTCAAGACAAAGTAACATGTGTAACAGTTAAATATTATTTAAATATCTATTATACATGAAGGAATAAATATTACACTTTCATGGCACACTATATGGCCAAATGTTTGTTGACACCTTACTATCACAGCTTTATGACATCACATTCCCAAATCCTTGGCACTAATTATAGGCAATCACCCTTCTGGGACGACTTTATTCACCATTGTGGAATCTGCCTATGGGAATTTGTGCCCATTCAGCCGACAGAGCATTTGTAAAATAAAATACGGTCGTTGGACAAGGCATGTTCACAGGCGTCAACAGCTTGGGCGTTAATTCATTTCATTGGCCAGAATAATAATTTATTTTGGATATCAAAATGAATAAACCCTCAAGTGCTAAAACGCGCCTAACTTTTAGGCACGTTGTCCAAAACTTGTTCAAGGCTATCCAAAATGATGAGCTGGTTCTAGCAAAAATGTCTGAGGGTTCAGGATCCATCCAAACCATTTAACGTCTGTTCAGTCAAAGCCACATTATCCAATAAAGCCTGTATCAACTGTACCCTCAACAGGAGATTGTCTCAGTATCCCATAATTAGAATGTCACAAACGTGCAGTAGGGCTAATATTAGGACCAGCACATTGGAGAACACCCAAGCAGCAGACGGGAGACTAAAAGGGAAGAGCCATGAATGTAATGTAGGGGCCAGACAGCAAAGCAATAGGAAATACTGATGTGCTGGAGAAATGGGGACATGTGGGTATGTGTCCTTTATATCGACAGAAACCAGGTGCAGTGAGGCAAAGACAAACCTGGTGGATTTCTCTGTAATTTCTGGACTAAAGTGAGGACACTCAAAGTTTTGAGACTGAAGTCGGGTGGACAGCCTCTTTAAGCAAGCAACAGAAATAAAGGTTAGAAAAATATCCTAGAAACGGTGTTGCCACAGGAACACCTAGGTAAAGAAGAACAGAGAGGGCTGAATGGGATCTACTAAAGTGTGCACTGACACAGACTATAATAGATAGTATGTAGAATGCAGGCTCTGTGCTCAGTCCATTCCCTCAACACCAGCCTGCTCCTGTATAAAGGGTCGGCAACATTCCCCTTGCCATTTTATAGCCCACTGCGAATTGGTAAGCTTCAACCTACCTTAGTGATTGCCCTAACCTTTTATACCTCAAGGTCATTTCTATTACTACTAGAGATGAGCGAATTTCTCAAAATTCGATTCGGCTGATTCGGCGAATTCCAGTGTGAAATTTCGATTCGATGCGAATTTCTTCGCTACGAAGATGACTTATAAAAAGGGTTTCTAGGCTTCAGAGAGCCAAATTAGTGCAGAACACTGTACCTTTAATTTAAATGCCCTTGGAGATGAGGAAGGAGAAGGAGAAGGAGAAGGATGAGAAGAAGGAGAAGGAGAAGGATGAGAAGAAGGAGAAGGAGAAGGATGAGAAGAAGGAGAAGGAGAAGGGATGAGAAGAAGGATGAGAAAGGGAGAAGGAGAAGGATGAGAAGAAGGAGAAGGATGAGAAGA